GTGGACTTCTCATTATTGACGGCAATGTTCCAACGCTTTTGCCAGTCGCTGAGCAAGTCAAGCTGCAATTGCATCGTTTCGGCTGCCCCCAATGCGCTATCGGCGGTGGTAAGGAAAGCGGTGTCGTTTAGGTTGCATAGGTTGCTGCGAGCAGGTCAGGCCTGTGAAGAACAAGGAGGTCGGCCGTGTAAGCATTGTACATCAACGGGCCAAGAACGCTGCCTTGGGGTACACCAGCGCGAGCTTCTCTTATACCGGAGATGGCCTCGCCACATCTAACAGCAAATTTACGGTCTTCCAAGAACGACTTTAGGAACTGAAAGTATGGTCGGGGTAGGCCAGCCTTTAATTTATATAGAAGACCGGGATGCCAGACTCGGTCAAACGCCTGTTTCACGTCCAGCATGACAGCCATGCAGTACTTCTTGGTTTCAAACGCGTCCAGGATGCACTGCACTACCCGGTGTCACTGCTCTGGCGTACTCATTCACTTTAGTGACTGGAGTTTTTGTAGGCATATTTGAAGCATAGAAAGAGTATAGAGTAGGGCCGAGGACGCTACCTTGGGGAACACCAGCAGAGATCGGTTTGGTGGACTCCTTCTTCTCAAAGGCTTCTAAGGCAAAGTTAACAACTCTGTGCAATTGCTCAGGAGTTCCATGTTGAAGACGAAAGCCGAACTGGAATTCCGGGATCGCACTGGTGACATTCTCAAGAGTAAGTAGCCTGTTCAGGATCAGCCTTTCCATGATTTTTCCCAGGGATGGTAAAAGACTAATGGGCCTGTATGAGTCCACGTCAGTTGGCGATTTTCCTGGTTTTGGGATCATATCGACGCATTTCCGCGAAAGTATCGTAAGTCGCTTTTTTTTCGAAATTGAGATTTGAATGAAAAATTGTTAAGCACCTAATGTTTTACTACCCTGTGAAATAATCTAACTGAAAACCCTATAGTTGCAATAAAAATTAAGTTTCAATTTTATCGTATGTTACAGTGTTTTTCAATCTGCGCGCGAAATTATCGTATGTCCATACAAATTTTTTGCATGGAAATACTTCAAATGCACAAAAATAAAGAAATACAATAACAAATGTTTCTAATCGCTTAAACATCTTATAATTTTGCTTATTGTTTGTAAGAGATGAAATAAAAAAAAAGCTTCTCCTGTAAAATTGGATTTTTCAACATTCGATACGTTCGCGGAAATGCGTCGATATGTATGTTGCCTACAAGGTCTTTCACTTCTGTCAGTGAGACAGGGTTAGCAGGCAGACTCATTTGGAATGGAGATTCTAGGAACTCTTCAACTTGTCGACGTATACTTTCAGGCGAGTATTCGTAAGGCTTGAAGCGTTGCTCAAGGTTGTTAGCAAACACTTCAGCTTTCTCTAGGCTCGTACTGCACCAGCCACCTGTTTTCTCTCAGGTTTTGCGTGCAGTATGGCCATTATAGGAGTGTGATCCGAGGATAGTTCATGGATTGTTCTTACTTGTAGCCTGTCTATAGTTATCCATTGATAATAAAAAAAATCAAGCGCTGTCGGTGTTAGTAGGGGGTTATATGAGTAAAAAGTGGGTTCACCCGTTGAAAGTTCTTGGTAATGCCCGTTCGCAATGACTTCTTGCAACAGCTTACTCCTTCTACAGGCTCGTGAGTTTCCCCACCATGCATGTTTGGCGTTATAATCACCGCCGGCAATGAACTTACTTCCAAATCCGGCCAGCAAGGATTCGAATTCTGATTGAACCCATGTTTCTGATGGAGGTAGATATATTGCCACTAATCTGACATTCCCTTCCGAAGTCTGTAATTGGACGCTCGCTATCTGTCTGTCGTTGCTAGAGACGGAGGGCAGGGGATGAGACTTAGGGAATCCTTTATAATAACTGCAGAGCCACCTCTGCTGTCGCCACTGGGGTGGTAAGCATGGTATATGCGATAGCCTGGCAAGTAGATGTGCTGACCAGCGCGCATGGGTGTTTCTGTGGCAAGCATTATGTCTATGTTATGAGCGCTGAGGAATAATCGAAGCTCTTCAGATACTCTGACTAGTCCACGAGCGTTCCACAATCCGATATTTAGTGATGGTTGAATCATTTCGGCAATCGCGCAATAAGAGCCTGGACTAGCTCTCTGAAAGCCTTGTTGGACTCTGCATTTTCCTGCATCAGTTTAAACAGAGTGTCCAGTTTGGAGTTGATGTCGCGGATGGCAATATCTATCGCTGTGAATTTATGGCTGAGCCTAGGGTCAGAAGGAGAGCTTGCGTCAGTCTGCAGAGTTGAGCCAGTCCTTGCTCTCTTTGGGTCGAGCTATATCAGCATACGATATATTCGTTCTTAAGGCTTCAGCTGATATAAATCCACGCTAAGCGCGTGCTGGATGATTGGTTGTCGGGAGTCTAGGCCTCGGCTTTTGTTTTTTATTTTTTTCTATTCTGACTGGGCAGCTTGAATCTGTCGTGGCGTGGTTACCACCACAGTTTACGCACAAGTATGTGTCGCTCACACAGAGTAAGGAACCAGTAGCGTGAGGCCCACTACATTTACCACAAACTGGGTCCAGGACACGGTAGTTTTTCGAGTGCCCAAAAATTTGACATCTTTGACATTGAAGCAATTCCTTTCTGCGGGAAGCACGCTCGACAGTGACTCTATATCTCCCAAGATTTGTTATTTTTAGGGAATCTGCTACGCTTGCACCCTGCTTTAGGTTGACATTAAACAAGTTTTGCCTAGTTTTAAAATTTATTGTGGCTTCATTATCATTTTCGTTAACCTCTATGTTTTTCCAATCTGTCTTTTTGGGGAGGTATATGTTAAGGACCTCAAAGCCGTTGTCAGTAAATCCCTGTTCAATCTGTGATTTCGGAACATTTGAATGGATTCCTTTGAGAACTACTCTGAAGGCCTTGTCTTGTTTTAGCTGATGGTGCCAAAATTGGCAGTTAAGCGATGTCAGTGTTTTTAAAGCTACCCTAAAAGCGTCAGAGTTGGCTGCATATATTCTAGAAACACTAAATTTGGAAGTGGGAATGTTGTAGTTAGTGGAGCCAACGCTATGATCAAGAGACTTTTCCAATAAGACCGGATCGCTTACGTCCGGTACGCAAATAGCAGGTATCTTGTTGGATTTTGCGGATTGATCGTCACCACCAGGTGGAATTGTATCCCCACTGATAGAGTCAACATCCTCCAGGTCCTGGTCCATTTGTTCTGCTTCAGCAGCCAGAATTGTGAATCGATTGTTACCCAATGCGTTTGCAGAGGAAGATTCGGCCGGCTTGTGGATCGCCGTTGTGGTCTGCAACTTAGTTTTGAGGATCGGGGGCGGAGTGCAGACAGGTAAAGAGGGCTGAGCCACGTCTTTTCGTTTTCGGCTGACTTTTCGTCCAGGAGCTTGGAACAGACATTTACTTGGTTTATTCGCTAACAGAGTTGATACATTTGTCAGCGGAGACGTAGTTGAGCATATGCTGCAGGCCGCAGTCGCAGCCACGGTGTAAGGTATTGCCCAAGATTGTTTTGGTGTTTGTAATGGTGCAGATAACACTAGTAGTAGAGTTACTGCTGATTGTCACCATAGAGCTGGTGATTGCTGTTTGATCAGGCATACCTGCAAGGTAGGCGGATTGATCTGAAGATATTAACAAAAAACTATATTTTAAATAAAACGTCAAGAAAAAACTAAAAGAATTAACTAAGTAAATAATTTGTAAAAAAAAGTTAAAATAATATATACATTAAAATATGTAGACAATATTTCATTATCAGATGGGTTAAATCGAATAGAGATAATAGCTATTCATAAGAATTTTGAATATAATTATTATGAAAATGAAATACGAAATGAAAAATAATGTATCAGGGGCTGATTTCATTATAAGTTTAATAAGAAAAATCATTATTTTATGATTTTTATACCCTTGCAGAGGGTATTATAATTTTGGTCATCAGGGTGCAACGCAGTGAAGGAGAGATTTCCGGTCCTATAAAGTATCAGGATCACCTGAGTTGTTATCAGCATGTCCCTCTTTCTGTCCGTCTGTCCGTCTGTTTCTACGCGATCAACTCTCTCAGTTTTAAAGATATCGACTTGAACTTTGCACACCTTATTTCCCTTCTTTCCTTTGCACGCAGTATGTAAGTCGGAACAGGATCGGCCGACTATATCATATAGCTGCCATATAACTGATTGATCGGAAATGGTATAACTTTGGTGTTTTTAGAGTTAGAGAGTTCAGATTTTGTACAAACGCTTCTTTTTGCAAAATAATACGACGTACCAAATTACCGACTTACCGGCCGACTATAGCTGCTATGTAACTAAACGATCGGAAATGGTATTTGGTAAAAATACAAACTTTGGTTTTTTAAAGATGGAAGCTTGGGACTTTTTTTCTTATTTTGTATTGGACTGGTTATAATAATCTAGTTATACTCCTGCAGAGGGTATTATAATTTTGGTCAAAAGTGTGCAAAGCAGTGAAGGAGACATATCCGACCCTATAAAGTATATATATTCTTTATCAGGATCCCCTCCTGAGTTGATATAAGCATGTCCGTCTGTCACTCTGACCGTCTGTTTTTCTGTCTGTCCGTCTGTATGTCTGTTTCTACGCAAACTAGTCTCTCAGCTTTAAAGCTATCAGCTATAAGTAACAGTTACCTTAATTAATGATGTCCCTTTTTATATATAAAAAAAAAAAACGTATATACAAGAAATACATTTACCTTATATTTCTACATGCATACAATTATGCCTTTTAAAACATTTCCTCATGGACTTACAAATTATTAGTATAAACTCCATATAAATTTGATAAATTTAAGCCATAATACATATTGTTGTATAATATTAATAAACAAAAAAATAATTAGGTAAGTCTTTTATGAAATGAACGTGAAATTTGTGTATTATATTTGCGATATCGATAGAAATAAATGCAGAAACAGACTTACTATTCGATAGTTTGATTGGCCATTTAAGATGAAATCGAAAAATCAGTCCGTCGCTGAGACTGTGAGTTCGTTCTTAAAAACCTTTTCTGGATATGATAAACTATTTCATATAAAACAATGATAAGCGTCATGGAAGTAAATCTCCCTAAAAATAAATCATTTATGTTAAACGGTTTTAGTGAATCATCTTTAAAATATCTACGCTTTAATATAATGAGCTTACTTAGAGTCTTGTATGTACGTTCCTTGTGCTTTTGCTAGCGGTGCTCTCTGTTGCTGCCTACACAAGGTGTATGTAGCAATTTGAAAAGTGTAAGCGAGACGACTATTGACACGGGATACTTTGTATACATCCTCATACATATAAAATGCTACCCAGCGCGCGAGCGCTCTCGCTGAAGATTGCGGCGTCGACATATTAGAGTAAATATAGATTTAAAAACTATAGAGAAAATTTGAGAACTACAGTACCAATACACATATCAATATGTACATATTTTAATATATGGAAAAGGGTGCTTTATACTATATAAATACACGTATTGACAAAAAATATGGATAAATGTGGTATTTTGTTTTATTCATGCATATATGTATATATGTTTCATATAGATATATATATATATATATAGGTATATATATATATATAGTTATGTATATATATACATTTTTTTTAAACTTGTGAAGTGAAATATAATATTGTGATTATACGTGTGGAGAATTTTAACAATCTTCATGTAATTATAGCGCTACAAAGCGGTATCCTTTGGAATATATCACCGACTATTGTCTTAAATCTTCGTTTTGTTTTTATTTCCATTGTGAAAACCATAATAGACTATATTGACCCGTATATTGATAAACTATATATTTGTTGTCTAACAATTAGATATACTATATTTAAAAAACTTGGTCAAATAAAAGGTCTTGATTTAATATTGAATTAAAATGTTGTTCATTCCTTTTTAATTTAAAAGGCATCTGCAGAAATTTTTAGAATTATGGACACAGATAAAACTGATATTTTAGAGATGTCAGTACCTGGAGGTAATTTATCTGGATCACAATCAGAATTGCAGGATATCGCATCCGCTATTGAAAATATTTTGCCAAGAACCACATTAACTCAACCGAAAGATGAAATAAAAAAGAAACCATCAGAAGATACACCGGCTTTTCCACCAAAAAGCATTACCATACCGACAAGTTGCCCTACCACTTCTATCCTAAACCTTCCTCCACCAACTGCTTTTATATCTCTCAAAGCTAGTTCAGAAATATGCGAAATGGATTCCATGCCGACAAGACCATTTGTCATTACTGAAGCTCATGAAGAAATACAAACCGCTATTGAGTCAACAATCAATTCGACACCAAGTTCTACATTAGATCCCAATATATGCGATTTTGATTCAGACACGGAACTTTCTGTAGTGGCCGCAGCATCTCTAGTTACAGCATCAGTCGCCGCCGATTCAAGATCGTCTCCATCTCTCCAATCTACATCATCGCACCTCAATTCCACTTCCTCTTTGTCAACAATTGCAGTGCATCAGATCGGATGCGGACCTGGAGTTATAACTGTTAACTCGAATGGTCATAACATTAGTAACGCATCTAATAGCACCCATTTGTGTCTTAATACAAAACAACAACGGCAGCAAAAGCGTCGACGAGAGCGAGCTCAACGTTTACAAGCGGAACGCGATGGACGATCTAACTCCAATTCATTAATTTCAACGCATATTACCGGGACTGCAGGAGTCAATAATAGCGTTGCTGGAACATTAAATGTAACTCACAGTCAGGGAAATTTGCCGTTACCTAGTTGTGCATCATCATCATTACCTATTGGGAATGGACCAGCGAATGGCTTGATATATCATATCAATAGCGCTGGAAGTATGGGAGAAGACAGTAACAATTCAAACGGAAACTTTACAAGCAGCAGTAATGGCAGCAACATTCTTTTACCACCAACAGACAGTATTGCTTCATTACTTTTAAATCCCCCAAATTCGCCTGAATGTAATTCTGGCTTAATGGCTACGCCTAGTGATAGTGAAGGCGAATCATTAGACGAAGACCTTTTATCAACATCATCTTCGTCGACTTTATTGTTGCCCCGTGACAAACCGGCACCACGGCCTCCACCTCCAGTAAGAAGAAAATTGCCACGCTCACCAGTTCTTGAGGAGGAGATTATTGATGGATTTGCCATTTTGGAATTCAAAACTTATGAAGATCTTGAGGTAAGCTTGTATATGCGTAACGGTTTCATGGCCAGATTATTTAAAATTATGTTTGCTTAATGGGTTTATACCTATGGAGCGTTAAATGAGAAGATGAATATTTTTTGACCCCAAAATCTTTCAAGCATTAATATCCAGTTCATCAATATCTATATAAATCAGACCCCTGTCAACTGTTAAATCGTCGTATCAATTATAAAAAAAATAATATTTCTTGTGAATAATTTTTGGGGTCTTGTTGCTATCATGGTATATAAGAAAACAAGAAAGGAAAGCTAACTTCTGGCGAAGCCGAAGTTTATATACCCTTGCAGTTAAAACTGGATATAAATCGCAAACGGTTATAGTTAACCGATCCTATTATCATAAGAATATGATAATATAACCCAATTTATTAAATCTAAAATCTAAAAAAAGTCCCAAACTTCAATCTTCAAAAATACCAAAGTTGATATTTCTACCAATAAGCTATAAGATATAGTCGGCCGATCCCAGTCGTTCCTACTTATATTCGGCGATTATTCACAGGTATATCCCACAGTACTTAAAACTTTAAACACAGTTTTCTCGAATCCACTTTTTTTGAGACTGCCGGAAACATAACTCGAAAAAATCTTAACCGATCGATCTTGAATTTTGACTACATTTAAGGGTATCATCTTCTGTCGTTACCGCAAAGCCAATTATTTCCTTGTTCAAGGATCCATCTGTGAACAGGAGCGTGAAGTTCTTCCTCATGAGCTGGTGTTTCATTTCTAGAAATTGATGGACAAATACAGTGCCGCTCAACTGAATAGGTTTGACATTTGGTTAAGGTTTGAATCGTTGTAACTCTGTAACAAGAGCTCAGATTTTCTCGAAATAAGTTTCGATGTATAAAGAAATCTGTCTTTTATAAAATAGCAAGTTTCTGTTCTGTTAGTTTTGTTTTTATATTATTTTTATTAACTTTTTCAAAAATGTAACAAAAAATGCCAATTTTTTTTGGGTCAACTAAATAGGTTTGATCACTAAAACTATTAAATTTATTCAAATTAAGGAACATTTCAAGGTACTACCTAACTGAAAAATTAAAATACATTGTTTTAGAATTATTCAGTACTTGGTATGCCCACCCACGTTCTTTATTACTTCAAAAATACGGTTTGGTAATGAATCATAATATTTTGTAATTTCATTAAGTGTAATTGTGGCCCAGGCTTCTTTAATTGCTTTAACTAAAGCTCCAGAATCACTAAATTGTCTTCCATCTTCGTAAACTCTTCTGGACAAAAGTCCCCACATGTTTTCCATAATGTTAATGTCGGGGGAGTAAGGCGGCCAATCGAGCAACTTGACGTTTTGGTCCTGAATCCATTGCTTTACAACCCGAGCGGTATGGATGGGCGCGTTGTCATGTTGGTACGTCCATGGAAGACGACCATAAATCTCAGAAATCTGAGGAAAAGCGTTTTGAAGTACTTTCTTGTAGTCATTTGCATTCATCTTTGAGGTGACAAACTGCAGCTCGCACGTTCCATAAAAAGATATGGCTCCCCATACCATTACTCCACCTTGACACGTGTGATGACGACTTAAAAAGCACTCTTCCTTTCTCAAATCGTGGAAATAAAAGTTATACCCATCAGGTCCATCGAGGTTGAACTTCTTTTCGTCGGAGAAGATCACCGTCTTCCACTCCTTGTTCCATGTCATGTGCGCTTTTGCAAATTGAAGTCGTGCACTCTTACGAGCATCGTTAAGTCAATCCCGCAGTTAAATACAAAGTGAAGTCAAAGCTTTCAAACCTAATCAGATGAGCCAAAAAAAGCGCGCGCATTTACAGAATTTCAAGACCAAAGCAAAATTCCAAATAACCGTTGACTTTTTCCCGCTACTTTTTTCTTGCAAATAATGAGTAAATGAATGAAGAATAAAATTAAAAATTAAATAGAAAAAAAAAACCAATTGGAACAAAGATATAGTGAAAAATGTAAGAACGATTTTTCAAACCTATTCAGTTGAACGGCACTGTATGTCCTCCGAAAAAAATCCGAAAAACGTCGGATATTTTAAAATCGGTTTTAAATTACGCGTTTGGGAATTTTTAAGAGCAAAAAAGTCCCGAAAAACGTTTTTTTTTTTCTAAATAAGTCAAGATTTGGAGGGTGTGACAAATATTTCAAACACGTTTTTGTGCTATATTCGACCTAATAAAGAATTTCTACTATGTCTCTTTAAAAGTTCCAAATCAATGTCGTACTGTTATTCAATTATTTATTCAATGAGGCATTTAGATTCTTAGGGCACCCATGCAGATCAAATTTTAAAATTGAAATCTTGATGTAGCGCTAGTTCAAAAAATTAGTTTTAAAATGTTTCTAAAATGTCTTTATTTCCGACGTGCCACGCCCAAAATATCTGATATCGACTTTGAGACGAAAAAACGCTATATACCCTCTGCATGGCTATAATAAAAAAAAAATTTTGTTTTATACGTTTGATTGGTTTGGAAACAATAACTTAAAATCCAGTAGGGAAGACGAATAAAAAGTACAACTCCTCGAAAAAGTGTACGATTTGCTGAACATTTAAAAAACGACCTGGGCTTCTAGTTTAGGAGTCCTAATGCTAACTCTTACTGCTATTTTTCTTTCCTTAATTAGTAAAATTTGTCTGCTTGTGAAAAAACTTTTACTTCATGACTATTATATCATGTTTATTATATGTATATGCAAAATGTTATATTTCTATCTCTTGTAGGAAGAATATCACTGATATTCACGCGTTCATTCAAGTACATCGAAAATCGATCACCTATAGTCCATAACCTTCATGCGTTCTTACAACTGAAAGACTGTTTTATCGTCTCGTTTTTAATGCATTAAAAATATCAAGAATCAGATCAAGATCAAGAATATAAGTATATTTCGGAAGAGCAGTAATTCCTTCCATTGTCCCTTAACTTTTATAAAAGATGCGGCAGCATAGCGAGTTCCGCTCACGTTCGATCGATCATTATGCTCAACCCTGCTCTCTCGGCATTCTCTCAAGTTGAGCCTCTATCGTCATCTCTTTTCATCTCGCAACTCTCGGTAACTCGTCAACGGACCTCACTCACCAGCAGAGACTGTCACAGTCTCTGCTGCTATGCCTTTCGCATGAATTCTGTACCTCCCCGAACTTAGAACTTCGCGACAACTCTGTTTGTCCTTAAATTTTATTGCTTCCCAACATGGCCTTCCTGACCTTTCACACGTCTCTGTGTGTTGAATTTCTAGATTGCCAAACAAATCAAGAAAACATCGGTTATATTGGTTTTCATATACGAAGCCTTAAATTTAATTTATTCATTGATTCTTTTCATCATTGTTCTCTTAAACAGTTACAAACTACATGAGTCGCTTTCCACAGACAATTTCAACAATTAACATTAACTTTTCATTTTTTTTTTTACTAGATTATACAGAGCTATTCTTAATTCTGAACAATTCATCGTTTACATAACTTAAATTTGTCATTTAATTTCATTTATCATTGCCGCGTAAGCACATGCACCAATACCTCTGCCATAACACTGTTCGACCCTGCGAGACAGATGCTATAATGCGGTCAACATTTCCCTTCTTGGGACACAGACGCACATTCACTTGTGCCATCTTCATGCTCTTTCCCCTATTGGGACACAGACGCACATTCACTTGAGCCAACCTCAGGCTCTATCCCATCTCGGGGCTCATCATTACTTTGGAATTCTCCTGTTAATTCGCTGATTAACTGTCTGTTTGGTAGCTCTATCAGAGACTCGTGTGAGTATTTATACGTCCGCTTATTAACTAATGATTTTCATTCATATCGATCTCCATCAAATACTTTTACCACTTGAAACGAACCCTTGAACTTGGAATCCAGTTTTGTTTGATGACGCTCTTCAGTTTTCAGTAAAACATGACCACCTACGTTATACGCAATAACTTTCGCCTTATTTTTATCAAATCTTTATCGTATCGTGCATTATTCTTCTTTAGCTTTAGCTTTTTTTCTTTAGCTTTATTCTAGCATTTTCTCTATTCACTATATTATCTTATTTATTTATTTTCAGCATACCAAAAGGCCTAGCCTTTTTCCCTATTAGCAACTCTAGAGCACTAGATTTTGTAACTCTATTTGTAGAGCAATTAAACTAACTGGATATCTTGCAATGCATCCTGCCAAGAACGTTCGCTAGTTTCTACAGCAGTTAGCATAGCTTTTAGCGTGCTCATTACACGTTTCACCTGTCCATTGGCACGGCTTGTGCCCGAGGCTATTAAGTACAACTTAATTTTATTCGTTGAGATAAATTCACGGAATTTATTACTTGCAAAGCTCCTGCCTTGATCTGAAATGATTCGACTGGGAACTCCAAAGAAAGATATACCTGACTTCACAGCTTTAATGCAATTTTTTGAGTCTATATTAAGAGTGTGATACAACTGAACAAACTTTGTAAATGCATCTGCCTGGACAATAATGTATTTCTTTAGGTCGTTTTTTCCACTGAGCTTGCCACTTGTATCTACGTGGATAGTATGCTAAGGTATATAAAACTTAGGTATGGGGTGCAATTGCATTTGTGCCTTTCCAAAAGGGGGCTTAGCCAATTTGCAGGTTATGCAATTTTAATCGAGCTTGACATATTTATATATATGCTCAAACCAGAATTGTTCATAAACCTTGTCTAGAGTTTTCTTCTATCCTAAATGCATCATAGCCTCATGTAAATTGTTTATGACGGACCACCTAAACGCCTTAGGAATCACTGGTAAACAACGAGTCGTTGTACGAGCCATTACGTTGTATATTGCGATATAATAGCCCAGTTCTAATTTCGTAAGTTTTCATTACATCTGTCTCTATATCTTCGCTATTTAATTGGTCCATGATTTTTATTATGCTATCATCTTGTTGCTGTTCGGCTATCAGCCAAATATTTGTTACTGCTGCTAGATCTACACGAACCTTTGCTGCTCTACGGATGA